CATGAGATGGGCGTGTCAGGCACCGCACTCGTGGTAGGTAAATGTTCATGATTACTGTCTTGTGGATCATTGTCTATCACTGTATTATTGTCACTATCAACTTCATCCAATTCAGGAATCATTATTTCATCGCCACTATCATCATCAGAACAAATCTCGTTCACAACATTTTCCAGCTGGTCTGTAGGAACACGAAGACACTTGCTGCAAGAAGCCATGGTGAAACTGAATGAATGTGAAATATTTTCTGACCTTTTCCTTCTCAGAGGGTTCTGACAGTAATATAGACCCCCACAAAGTTTACAAGGGTTCTTTACAAACATGCACAAAAACTATCATATATATGTCTTTGGTTGATGAGTGTCAAGAGAGCAAAGAAGGGAAGAGACTGTCAAAGCGTTAAAACACGCCAACGCCAGGGAACGGCTGGCATCGTCCGAGCGTTAAAACACGCCCGCGCCAGTCAAAGAGTTAAACTGCAGATTTTATGGTAACTTACTCTCAAGTGATCACATATGAAACAAATCAAATGTTTGATATACCTCGAAAATTTTCAGGTTATCAGATAGACTTTTGTCTTCCCATGCCCAAAATGTCTGTGCATCAAACGGTTTATGAATAACTCCAATGATGGGATTCCCCTTAACAGCAACACACACCATCGTTGTAACATATTGCAGCTGATTTTCTGTAAGAAAAGCATGTAACAAAAGATTAAGTTGTGCTGAAAACTTAAAGCTATTCGGTCTTTCAACGACTGAAGTCCACTACAGCAAGAGGAATTTCCATCTCTGGTTGCACATATTTAAGCTGATGGGCCTGTTCATATGCAAAACTTCATCTTGTCCTCACAGAGCAGTGAGTGTGACCACCATAAATACTAAGGGCGTTCCGTATATAATGCCTATTTTTTTTTAAAGAAAACTACATTTTTTTTTGAGTTGTTTCATTTTTGGTCCGTTACACTATCAATCACAAAGTCAATGGAAAGTCCGTCGAGTGTAACAATGTTTTTTAGGTCACTTCTTTATCACTTTTGCCTTACATGTTTCGGTTTAATAGAACCATCATCAGAGGCACATGGTACTAACAAGAAAACACTGGCGTTGTTTAACTGTACACAGTATATATGCTGCGTGGACGCTGCTACAAATGTCGATGTGTAAAAGCACAACACTTGCTACTTTGAAAACTACAACAGATACAGAAATCATAATAATGCAGTTAAATACCGCAAGATTTCAGCTACTTAGTTATTTTTCCACATAATCACCACCATTCGTTATGCACTTTTGCCATTGATGAACAAGAGCCTGTATGCTGCGCTTGTAAAAGTCTGCGCCAGCAGAGGCTAGCCACGTTCTTACAGCTGCAATGACAGCATCGTTGTCTGGAAAATGTTGCCCACGTAGTCCGTCTTTCATAGGCCCAAAGAGATGGAAGTCTGAAGGGGCTAAATCAGGGCTATAAGGTGGATGTGGTAGGACAGTCCAGCCAAACTTTGCAATGTGCGCGGTGGTCGCCAAACTGGTATGGGGTCTAGCATTATCATGTTGCAAGCAAAAGGTTGTCTGCTTCTCTGGCCTGACTTGGGAAATATGGGCTTTCAGCTTATTCAGCGTCGTCTTGTAGCATTCAGAATTGACAGTCCTTGGCCATTATCTGCTGATCTGTTCGGATGAGGCGCTGTTCATTGTGAGAAGTGGCAGCTGAGCAGGGACGCCCATGGCGTGGCTTGTCATGCACTTCACTTTCGCCACTGTTCAAACGCACTACCCACCGAATCACTGTACTAACATCCACTGTATTGTCTCCATACACCTTTAGCAAGTGTCGATGGATGTCAATGGGTACAATTTCTTCGGCAGTGAGAAATTCAATAACACATTTCTCTTTCATACACACTTCTATGTCAGACGCCATTTTGGTAGACTGCTCTGCTGTCACTATCTGTCGCACAACAACCAAATTAACAGTACATTGGCGGGAAGGTTCAACCTTTACTACAACACCACCAACATCCAGCTCAGACGTTACATATTAACACAAAAAAATAGGAGGCATTATATACGGAACGCACCATGTAAAATGGCACTCAATGTACAGTATGGTATTTGCAAAATATTTCATTCATTTATTCATTTTATTTGGCACCGATAATTGCTACAACAGTAACACTTGAACAAGTCACATTATTAAATACATCATTCTTGAAATCCTTTTGCCGAAATGATTAGAATTTGTCAGTAAATAAATAATAAAATTAGATACAATTGTGTACTGCACATCTTCATAATAATAATAATAATAATAATAATAATAATAATAATAATTTTATTTAACATTCATCACAGTTACAGATTGTAACTCTCGAACAAGTCACATACATATACAACTGTTCCAGTATAATTGGCCTTCTGCCCAATCGATGGAACGTCATCATATATCACATAACATAACATAACATAACATTCAGTTACAATTAAAATCACACTCTTGGAATAATTAACATATATTAGGTACAATCAAATTTACGACTACCTTTTATTATAAAAAACAAGGTCATCTTACTATATATATCTTTATTTTTTTTTCCTTGGCACTACATCCCCAGTGGGCCTAGGCCTACCTCCATGAACTCCGTTCACTTCAGTTTTTCTCGATCTTACACATACAGTAGGACTCCTTGGGTGAGTGTTCAGCTTGTCACAAGGCCTCTACCTGTAGACAAACTCAGAAAAACGCACACAAACATCCATGCCCTGAGTGGGATTCGAACCCACGATCCCGGTTCCAAGCGAGCGAAGACAGTGCACGCCTTAGACCGCTCGGCTACCGTGACCGGCGTATATCTTAATTACCACCGTCATATTCTTAAACTTAAAACCTATTATATCAAAATAATCCATAAAAGATAAAATTCAATTTAGATAAAGATTAAATAATTTGGAGTGCAATCTCTTTTAAGACTTCCATTCCCTTTATAGGCTGAATCATATTAAAAACTTCACCTAATTACTAGTTATTATTGTACACTTAAATCTATTATCAAGGAGAATCTTATTCGTTTAACTGTCCTTCTGAGAGGAACTCATGCAAATTATACAATGGGTGTTCCAGTAAATATCTTTTGAGTCTATGTAGGAAATCTCTATCTGCTTTTACCAATCTTAGTTCCAAACGCAGTCTATTATAAAGCTTAACAGCCATATTTGTAACACTTTTCTCGTATGTTACAGTAGTGTTTCCCAACCTTTTTGATGCCGTGGACCCCCTGTACCGAATGTTAATTCACCGTGGCCCCCATAAAACCCAAAATGGAAATTTTTAAATTTTACGAGTACATATCATAAAAATGAAGCAGTAACTTAAAATTTTACAACACTAAATGTGTCATTTATGACAATAAAATACTGTTATAAATGGAGATGTTCGGAAGATTACGAACATATCAATTAGGCGTAATATTATGAATTTAACACTCACCTAATGTGATGGCTGGTGCTGTTTTT